AAATTTTGTGGTTTGACAAATTTAGAAGGGTTATATTGCGGATTGACTCTTACTTGGAAGGTTGACTTGTGGTTTAATGACGTGAAAGGTAAAATCACAAACCCTAACCACTTGAAGGATTTATTTGCAGAAAACCCATAATATTATTATCCATCACATTAACACGCATTACATCTCGATGTCTTAGTACTTCACTTCTCGATATATTTCTTATTAATAACAGAAATATAAGCTTAGTAATCTACAACTCCATGTTATATAGTTCACAACATTTTGGATTGCTAATGAATTTGTATATATCATATAAAATCCTACGACAAATTAAATTAAATTAAGTATCTAAACATGTAGCATATTTAGGTGGAGCCTCTAGAAGAGAATATGAATATGTTTTAGATTCATCAATAGTGAGGACAGTGATGAATATGATGATAGTACACCAAATAGAGGCGTTGTTCATAATTTCGATGATGACTATCAAGTAGGCAAAGATAGAAACAAAGAAACATTAAACATCTTCAGAGAGATTCGCAACACCACATCATCACGTCGACACCGAATGAGGTGGTGAGACTCAATGATTCTCTGGATCCGATGATATTACTGAATTTTTTTCCAAATCTATTGTAACTTTATTTTATTTTTTTGCCAAAGTTACTTTGACTAAGGTATAACGTTTGTAATGCCTAAACATTCATTTTAATGATATTTACTATTTAGCCAAAAAAAAACAAAAAACAAGATGTGAAGAAGGTGACATTTGAAGAGGAGTTATTTGGAGATTTTCATGTACCAGTCGAAAGTACTACAGAGAGTACTACAAGAAGTGATACAGAAGTTGAGCTGTACGATTTGTGAAGAGGAGTTCGAGTTTGGAGATGCACAAGCGTGGGTTAAGTTAAAAAAAAATATTTTGAAGAATATACTCAAGATACAAATAAGGAGATGATAACTTCAAAAAGGAATTTTGTCCTTATCGGCGGAAGGAAAGTTGCTTAGGGTTAAAGAATATTCTCTATAGGTATATATAGAGAGAGGCACGTGGCTGGAGTTTTCTCACGCCTCTTAAAAAGAAAAATACAGAGAGATTGATTGAGAGAAGAAGGCGTCC